CCTCGGAAACCAGAGAAGCCACAGAGAGACCCCTGCCAGCGCTGAGATGTTTCCAATGACACTGGATCCAAGGACTTTCTACCCACTGGCCTGTGATCTTCTGCATTCGGCGTCATTGCATGTGTTTCATAAGTCTGAAGAGGACTTTATAGATTGATATTGGAAATATGGGCTGATATCGGACTTATGGACTTGATCTGAACTGGGCTGGGATGTTTTCTCAATGTTCAATTGCTCTTGTATATAAACCTCTCCCTTATATACATATGTGTGTCCATGGATTTGCTTCTCTAGTCTCCCTAGACTAACACAGGAGCAACAGCAATCTAGCTGAGGGGAATTACTAAGAGGCAGAAGTAGGGGGAGCGTGATGGTGGGGCAGGAGAAGGTAAAAGGAAACAGGAACGATCTAGGAAGCAAAGCTATGGAAGGAGGTAAAACCATACGTGTGTACATATGTAAATACGTGAATTCATAAAAATAGAAGTATTGGCCTCTGTACATATATTTATATGGCAATACACTGAGGTAGTGGATGGGCGTTGGGCCTTTGCTCATAACCTCCCTCAATACAAGAACACTTTGTTCTAACACACTGGCATTCTGTGATGCTGACCCTCCCAGCACAATGGCTGAAGACAAAATGTGTGCATAAGCAAATGTGGTGAAGAAAGTGGATCTTGCCCAGCTATCAAATACAGATATAACGTGTGGGGTCTGTGTGATCATGAAGTATCGATGGGATCAGGTATCAAAATATCCAAACAAACAATTATATCGATATGAAAGAGGGGATTTGAGTGGAAACCCAAAGCTAATCTGTAGACAATTGGACATCCCTCCACAGAAGGGTTACAAGGAAGGAAAGATTCAACTAGGGTCCAGTATAGCACTGACATAACACACATCATTCCTCTAGTTCCAGAATGTTTCCCCACCCCACCCCACTACCATGACCCAGTTCTACTGTACAAATCTGGCTGGACCCAGAGTACAAAGCACATTGTTACAAGTAAGAGCTCTCGACACATGAAATTCAGGACAGATAAAGCCCTCGAGAACAATAGTAGGAGTAGCAATATCATGATGGTAGGAGGATAGGTGGGTAGGGGTGCAAGGAAGGGGCAAATGGGTGACCCATCACAAAGTTGGATATATACTCCCCCGCCAGGGGGACAAATAGCATAAATATGGGTGAAGGGAGACAATGGGCAATGTAAGGCATGAGCTAACAATAATAATATATCATTGATCAAGGATCCACAAGGGTTTAGGGGGGGCAGGAGAGGCAAAAGCAGGAGCTGATATCAAGGGCTCAAGTAGAAAGAAAATGTTTTGGAAATGTTGATAGCAACATATGTACAAGTACGCTTAATACAATCGGATGGATTGTTATAAGATTTATAAAGGCCCCCAATAAAAATGATTAATGTTTTTTTAAATAGTGATCAGGATCATAATTTTGAATGACCCCCAATGTCAACTGGCATAAGAGAGTTCACAAAAACAATGGTCTACATTCTACTTCCGTGTGTGCTCACTGGGACCTTCAAGCTCTTGAGCAATTATCTGAGATGTCTCTACTGTTCTCTCCCCATCTAGAGGAAGGAGAGTGATGAAAATCAAAGACACACAGAAACAATTAGTCTAATATGCTAATGGATCTCACAAATATCAGTCTCCATGACCGTGAGACCAGAACTAAATGGTGGTGCCCAGCTACCATCTGCTCTGAAAGGGATCACATTAAAAGGTCCTGGATAGAGTGGGAGAAAATTGTAGAACTTAGTTTCATAAAACTACCAGTTTGAGTGTAGAACCCCAAGACTATATCCCTTAGCTGCTCTTTTAGATCTCAAAATGAACTCACCACCATGGCTCAATTTTCAGCTAAACTACAGCCAGGCCTAGAAAGGGAACAATAACACTAAGGAGGTATACACACCTTAGTATAATCAACCATTTGAGAGAGATCCAAGGGACTGCATTTATCCAAGGACAAAGTTCATAGGTTAGGAAAGAAGGGAGCATGGAAACAGGAAACACAGGGAGGAAGTGGATAGAGACTGTTCCACTGAGGGAATTACAGGGAATGAGGTGAAATAAAATGTTGAATGCAAAACTAATGATCTGTTCCGTAAACTTTCACTTTGCTCGCACACACACAAAATTCTCTTTTAAGTGACAGCCTACAAAACCCTCTACGGTAGGTCTACTCAGTCACATGGGATAACTATGAGTTCAAAATCAACTGGACAGCAGCTAGCAACAACAACCTTGCACACGAGGTTGTGTTAATATAACCAACTCAGAGGGAAGCCTTTCTGAATTCCATAAACAGTCTGCTTTCAGTTTCTAAATACATACAGCTTCTAAGTACAAAAGTGATTTACTTCTAAAATATACTTATTTCAAATCCATTATCTTTTCATATTATCTCTCCACATAAGGATTAGTTTAAGAAAACATGCCATGACCTGTGTTCCATATGAAACAATTACAATGGTCAAATATTCAAAATCCCCTTTAACAAATTTATGATTACAGCCCAGAAGTTTAATGATTAACTCATTTATGCAACCTGAATAATTTAAAAGATGGTATTAAGCTTTCTGTAAAAGTGTCTCTGCATTTAAATTATGAGTTAAGTGTTCCTTCCGAAAAGATGAAGCTATTTTCTTTTTATTAAGTTGCTCAGTTTTAAGAGAAAAAAGGCATCAGATATAAGGGATTTTTTTACAACTGTCCATCTGCTTCAAGGTAATGATCATTGTAGACTTCGCCCTGCATTGCTCTCATTTAAATCCTAAGTGATTCATGAGCTTCACTAACTTCCTCCTTCAGAGATTATGGAATAGTTGGAATCCAGTTCTCAGTATCTCGACAGTATTTTTTGAGGCAATGGGTATTTTTATGGCTGAGTCTAAGGCTTTCATTAAAATTTTCTGTTTGTTTAAGGAAAAAGTAGTCGTTTCCCCAGACTTGTATTTGAAATTTTAATGGTATCTCTCTAGAGAAAACGTCCAACCAAACCCCTGTTGTTGAGTTGATTTCAACTCATACTGACTCCATGGGCCAAAGGAGAACTACTCCTTAGGGTTTTCTGAAACCGCAGATCTTCATGGGTGCACACAGCCTAAGTCTTTTCTTGTGAAGCAGCTGGTGTGTTTCAACCAATGACCATGCAATTAGCAGCCCAATGCATAACCCACTTTGTGACCTGGTGAGAAAAGGCAGGTCCATTTAAGAGTTAACTATCTACTTAATCATGTGAGGGGCAGGGAAAGACTTTGTTATGAACCCACTGACATCTCAAAAATCATTCATGAATGGGATGGGAAACGAAACTTCACTGGTGTGCTTTTTATTTTAATAAGTCACTTCTGCTTCAAAATTAACTACTAAGTTACTTATGAAATAAGCAATGATGATGACCAAGACTTTACCGTGGCCATAGCCTGGATTTATTAACTCTTTTAAATGCAGATGAAAAACTTGCATTCATACAATATATTATACATACATATTGTATAATATGTATACAATACATATTATATTGTATTGCTAATTATGATAATTAGCATTAATTATCATAAAGGTTATTTATGAACTTTGATATAGCACACTGAAACACCTTGAATTTTATTTTGCAAGGCAGAGCATCAGAAGCTAAAACTGTTGAACAGCTTCCAAGCTACTACTGAGACACTAGAAAACTTGGGAAGCAAGATAACTCCATAGATTTTGAAGTCCGGAATAAAAATCTGGATTTGAAACCAGGCCCTGGCACTGACAAGCAATTCTGCACATCAAAGCCCTCAATGTTCTCTCTGTGAAATAAGGACATTAGCGACGTTTGGAAGCTTGTAGAACATAGATTCACAAGTATTAAGAGTCTCCAAACGCAGTCCTTCACTCCCTAATGACTACCTGCCCAGCTAATTGTCCTGGAGAAGGTCTTTTTGGTGAAAGCGCTTTTTGAATTGCAAAGTTCTGTACAAATGTAAAGTATTATTATTACTTACTATAATATATCTATACAAACAATTCATAAAATGGGTTTATGGTTTGCCCTTTAGTGTCTGAAAACCCTGAAACAACAACGTATTACACTTTCAGCTTTCTTTCATTTCTTCTTGGAATTTTGCCCTGGCCCCAATTTCACTTGAACAAACCTGGTAAACAACATGAAGAACAAGAATCTGAGGCATCTGTCTGCATGCCTCCTAGACCAGCTTGGGCTGTACTTCCTAGGAATGTGGGCAAAATCTACGTCTTCTGCTCATGTCTCACACGAGCATTTGCAGCTCAGTTGGTGCATGCAGTGGCCTCACAAAGGTGCACTTTGAAGAAACATAAACGAGCGCTTTAAAGACCACGCCAAGCTCAAAGTCCATTTCCAAGCACTAACGCACGCAGGAAATCTCATTTACACAAATATCTGTCCTTTTCCAAGGGTCTGATGTAAAATTTCGAGCTCATTTCGGGATTATTTTCCTCCTGAATTAGGCCAAGATAAAGAGTGATTCTCTAAACTGTCCATCCTTAGAATAATAAACATCTTGGAACCATCACCGAAACGTGTCCAGTGTGTTACTAAAAATAGCAGGTGAGGGGCACCGTGGGCGTCCGTTTGGTATCCTCTGGAAGGCGCTTGGACACCTGCTCACACAAGAGCGGAAAGTCCAGATTCGGGGAGGGCGTTGCTTGCCACGCCCTGCCCCGCTGACTCCGGGTGTCTCAGAGCCACCAGACGGATGCACCGGGAAGAAAGGTTTTCCTAGCTTCCCAGGAGCCCGATCTCCCGGCAGGAGCATGGAACTTTGTCTCTCCGTCCCTAGGACTTACCTTTACTGCCCACTCATCCTCTCCCCGCGCCCCCAGCGCCCAGCGGACCCCGCCCGCATCCGATTTCGGTCCGACCTCCCTGGATCCAAACCGAGGCTGGAGGTGAGGGGGCGGGGCGAGGTGGGGAGCGAGGCGGCGCCGCAGCCCCTCACCTGGGCGGGCGCGATCCCGAAGGCGCCGGCGATCTGGGTGTAGAGCTCCTGGATGCTGGCGAAGTTCTCCACGCGGCCCGTGGCGCTGCCGTGCGCCAGCTGCGCGTGGAAC